AAAATCATATCACAAAAAGGGTGTGGGTGGGTGTGGGGTGTGGGTGTAGGTGTGAATGAATAAATTATACTATGTTCACAACACACCCACATCCCACACACCCACATCCCACACACCCACACTCATACTCCCACATCCACACCCACACCCACACACCCACCCTCACACCCATACCTTCAGTCAAATTCATAAAATAACCAATTGTTATTTACTCGTCTCGTTGTATCTAAATCAGTTTTCAATGTTTCTAATGCCCTTCTTGGCAAATCTACTTCTGTTCTATGTATCAAATTAAGCAATATGCTTGAAATTGACAATTCCATGCTTTTAGTATCAATATTTTGAAACAGAAAAACGCAGAGTTCTCAATGTTATCTGAATATGAATGATGCTATTAAGCGAAATTTTATTAAAAAAATTTACAAATCATTTATTTATCAAATCTTATCTGCTTCATATTCATATTCTTCAAGCATCATCTTTTGTCTTTTCTTAACAGCCACCATCTGCTCGTGCACTGTAGGATAATCACTGATCAGCTTAATTAATTTATATACACCTGGTAAATCAATATTTTCTTGGGCTAATTTCACTTTGTTCCATTGTTGTTTATACTGACTTTCAACTTTCAACAATTCTTCAGCCAACTGTAAATTCAAAGCATTAGATTTTTCCATTTCACAGATATATGTTTCTTCTCGGATCATTTCTTTCAAACCCTTCAAAAATGGATCATCTTTTGTGGAACAAGCTGCATAAATAAGAAAATGAACTATTTTAACACTCGCATCACACAGTTTGTTTAGTATATCACTCATTTTATTTTGAGGATTGCTGGATAGTTTATTTGAACATTTATAGTCGAGAACATAATCAATTGAAACATGTTGATCGAGAGTACAATCGCACATATTACAAGCATTACGAATTTCATGTTGAGTAGGACATAAAATCCAAAATCTGCCAACTTGTTTTACATTACCTTTACAAGAACGACAATGATTAGCTGCAACATGAACAGGTTTCGAATTTATTTCAATGTATTCATTCAATAGATTCTCCTTGTATAAGATGAGATTACGAAGAGTATTTCTTATTGTTTCTAATATTGGACGAATCATATAAAAAATTTCGAATTGAGCATGTTTAATCGATTGCCATTCTTTGTCAATACGATATACCGTGAGCTTTTCATTAATATAATCAATCAAACGATTGGCTTCTTTTACTGATGTTGACCAACGCATTTCGTACTTTTGTTTTTCTTCACCATTGAATTTAATATCATTTTGTAAAGCAACTAAATATCGAAATGATTCACTATCAAAACAAAATGTATTCTCTTTCTTGAAAGAAATATCATTCATTGAAGATGATGCAAACATTGTTTTAAGTAAAGGAGCTGTATTACCAGGTGTATAAAATGTTGATCGAGCGTTAGTAAAACAAATATAATATTATTACGAACTGTTGGAGATAGAAGAGAAAATAATTGAGTAAGACATGTACGAAAAAAGATATTTAATCTTGATAGATTTGGTTTAAGAAGAAAACAAATAGCATTCAAATGTGTAAGATTATTGATATATTGTAAAATATGTTCCATATTTTGTTCATCTTGATCAAGACCTCGTGTATTACCAAAACCAGGTGTATCAATAATGCGTACTTTTCTTCCATCACCATTATTACGTGTAAATACATAAGATTGACAATGTTGTGTGACAGATTGACCGTGAGCGTTGAAATTTTCATTGTTAGAACTATCGATTTCGCCAAATTT